AGGCACGCTCGCTTAAAAATTAATTTACATTCATGACTTCGCTTATGTTTTGGGATGACTTCCAGCGCCCCATGAGGCATGCCTGTATAAGCACGTCTCTCAGAGACCCTCAGGGCCAATAGAGTATGCAGATGAAGTAGAGGTTGAAGACTTGCTCTTTGATCTTTTGGGGGGTGATCTCCAACTAAACCCCTTTAGAAGGGAGCTGTATGCTCTTGTCCTCTCCTCGTTTTCAATAGAGCATCTTAGCAACTGTCTCCGCTGTGATTATTCAGTAGTTCAATTCTTCTGCCTTTGAGACTCCCACCTGCCTTCTGTCAAAACAGGGCTGTAGTTTTATTCTTGCTGAGGTTTCTTACCCAGCATGGGTGTGTGTGTGTGTGTGTGTGTGTGTGTGTGTGTGTGTCCCTGTACAGATTATCCTCGGCATACGACCACAGTTGAATCCCAGATTCCTGCTGCTAAGCGAAACATTCATTAACTGAATTTTGCCCCATTTAATGACCATTCTTGCCACAGTTGTTAAGCGAATCCCCGAAGTTTTTACATTAATATCACAGTGGTTAAGTAAATCTGGCTTCCCCATTGGACGTTGCTTGTCAGAAGGTCCCAAATGGGGATCGTGTGAAATTTGAGTCAGTTGCCAAGTGGCCAAATTTTGATCACGCGACCACAGAGGGGTGCTGCAAGTGTGAAAAACAGTCATAAGTCACTTTTTTCAGCACTGTGTAACTTTGAACAGTCACTAAATGAACTGCTATAAATCGAGGACTGCCTGTATGTTGTGAGCCTTTATGGCCAGCCTAAAGCGTAGATTTTTTTAAAAAATTGCTATAATAAAATGTTGAACTGGTTTTTGAAGAAAAATACATAAAGTTCAGACAACTTCATTGGCATTTATTACAGGTAGTCCTTACTGTTGTAGTCCTCGACTTACAACAGTTCACTTAGTGACAGTTCAAAGTTACAACACCACTGAAAAAATGGACTTATGACCATTTTTCACACTTAACGACCTATGAGGCATCCCCATGGTGATTTACATTCAGATTCTTGGCAACTGACTCATTTATGACGGTTGCAGTGCCTCGGGGTCACGTGATCCCCTTTTGCGACCTTCTGGCAAGCGAAGTCCATAGGGAAGCCAGCTCCACTTAACGACCATCTGACTAATTTTAACAATTGCCGTGATTCGCTTAACAAATGTGGCAAGAAAGGTTGTAAAATGGGGCAAACTCAACAAATTTCTCAGCAACCTGTATTCTGGGCTTAGTTGTGGTTGTAAGGTAAGGATACCTGTACATTATTTTTTTTTAGGTTGCTATTGTTTTTAGGAGATGCTGTATGTATCACAAGGCTCCACTGCTCATTTTGTTGAATTTTCAAAGCACTGTTTTCCACCAAAATATAATTCTGATTCTTCCTAGGTGGAAACAAAGCTATTACTGAACTATTTATTTATTTATTGCCCATTGTATCTGGCTGATAGTTATTTAAAAACTGGAATGTAACCTCAGAATTTCGTCTTTACAGCTTAATTTAGAGTCATTTCATCCTTCTCAGTCTCCTCTATCTTCTGTATAATTTCTTTTAGAGATTCTTATTGATCGTAGGTACTACTCAAAGACTTTGACCTATTGGAGTGGGATTAAAATTCTGTAGCAAAATATGAATACATTTTTATACTTATCGTATTCATCTCATAGTGCTCCTATTACATTTCAAAATAGCTTTTGTTCTAATCAAAACAAATTATAATACTTAGCTAACAGCTTGGCAAAGAAGCTTTAGGCAGTAATTTAAAAATAATTGCCAATGCATGCCATCAGTGGATCCCTCCAAGACATAATAATTAAAAATCTTTTTAGCCTGTGCAGGTGTTATATGTGGGAAGACTTATAACTTCTGTTAGTTGAGAGAAAGATGTAATAATCTTGGACAAAATCCCGTCTTCATCTAACCTTTGGTTTAAGGTGTGTCCAGTCAGATGCTGCTAGACTTTCATGGAGAAATCTGTCTTTTCCCAACCTCTGAAGAGCTGGAGACATCCTGCTACTGAATGTGGAGATCCCGTTGTGGTTATACCACATGTCTAATTTAGATAATTTGAAAGTCGTTCACTTGTAATAACTTGCTTCTAGTGCAAGATATTCTGTGGTTGATTTAAAGCATATAACCCATTTTATGCCCAGGATAACAAACAAACAATAAAAGGATATCCACTTCTTCTTGCAATGGAATTTTCTCATTTTTCCAATTTTTTGCAAATACAATCCTAGCAGCAGTCAATACATTTACAATCAAATATTTCAACTCTTTACTATAAGTATCTGGTAGTATTCCCAATAGAAAAAACTCCGGTTTCAAGTCTATATGCTTCTTTGTCATTTTTTCCAGCCACATGTGGATTTTAGTCCAATATTTTCTAGCATCCTCACAAGTCCACCACATGTGATAGTATGAACCAGGTTTCTGATGACATTTCCAGCATTTTTCGGATTTGTTCTTAAACATTCTTGCTATCCTTGTCGGGGGAAAATGCCACCTGTAAAACATCTTATACAAGTTTTCTTTATAGGCTGTAGACATTGTCATTTTATAATTTTGCGACCATAATTTCTGCCATTTCTCTAAATCAATCCCATATCCAAAATTCCTCCCCCACGCAATCATAGTTTCTTTAACTTGTTCTTCCTCAAGCTTAATTTGCAATAAATAACCATACAATTTTTTAATCACCTTTTCATCAGTACCCATCAAAATCTTATCCAAGTCAGTTTGCTTATCATAAAATCCCTCTGCTTTGGAATCCTCATAGTACTTTGAATATATTTGCAAATATGAAAACCAATTCATCCGTATACCTTGTTCTTCCAATTTTTGCATCGATTTAAGTTCACCCTTTTCATCTAATAATTCCCCATAGTTAACTGTTTGTTCCTTTTTATAGATTATAGGATAAGAAAACGCTTCTATCGTCGATAACCAAACTGGAATTTTCAAATAACACTGTTTTTTTATCTTCTCCCAATTCAACCACAGAGACTCCCGTATATAATGCCTTCTAAAATACCCCTGTGTTTTAGTTCCCTTGTACCATAAAAAAGCATGCCAGCCCAACAACAAATCATGACCTTCTAATGTCAACAATCTAGTTTTCCTTAATGTTATCCATTCTTTAACCCACGTCAAGTTTGCAGCTTGGTAGTACAACTCCCAATTAGGCAGTCCAAACCCTCCTCTAAATCTAGCATCCTGTAAAAGCTTTAACTTTATTCTTGCTTTCTTACCTTGCCATATATACTTCAAAACAATTTTATTTAAATCCTCAAAATATTCTTTTCCAAGCCTAATTGGTATTGTTTGAAACAAAAATAAGACTCTGGGTAAAATGTTCATCTTAATTGTTGAAATCCTTCCTATTAATGACAATTGTAAGTTCTCCCATTTTTTTCAAGTCTTGAGCTATCTGTTGTTTAAGTTTAATATAATTATTCTCCTTCAATGTACTACATCTTGATGTCAAATATATCCCCAGATACTTAACCTTGTTTGTAACTTGAATTTTTAACAGTTCTGCCAACTCTTCCCTTTGTTTCAGCAACATATTCTTTGACAAAATCTTTGTTTTATCTCTATTTATTTTCAAACCAGCCACCTCCCCATAGACCTCTATCTTTTCCAACAGTTTCGAGGCTGTTTCTATAGGGTCTTCCAAGATAAAGACTAGGTCATCTGCAAAGGCTTGTAGTTTAAATTCTTCCTTTTTAATTTTCATTCCTTTTATAGTTTTATCTTCTCTGATATTTCTATTCAACACTTCCAAAGTCAATACAAATATCAAGGGAGAAAGAGGACAACCTTGTCTTGTGCCTTTTCTTATATTAATAGGATCTGTAAATTCTCCCTCCATCATTACCTTAGCTGTTTGTTCATTATAAATTGCTTCTATTGCCTGAATAAATCTTCTAGCAAAGCCCATCTGTTCCATTAAAAGTAACATAAATCTCCAATTCACGTTATCAAATGCCTTTTGAGCATCTAAAAATATCAAAGCCATTTGCTTTTCAGGATG